CGTTGAATTGCCATCCTATCACTAGATAAATCAACACCTTCCTATTTATAATGTTTTAAGAGGGATATTATTAAAATAATTGAAAAAAATAATTTATATAAAAATAATTGAGAAGCAAACCTCTTTTTTGAATGAATCAACTATAAATTTAACCAATTTACTATCAAAATCTTCACCACCCAAGTGGGTGTTCCCGTTGGTTGATTTAACTTCGAAAACTCCTTTATGAATTTCCAAAATACTAATATCAAAAGTACCACCACCCAAATCATAAACAGCAATAATTTTATTTTCAGTTTTATCAAGTCCGTAAGCAAGCGCAGCAGCTGTTGGTTCATTTATAACACGGAGTACGTTTAAACCTGCGATTTGACCCGCATCTTTCGTGGCTTGACGTTGAGAGTCATTAAAATATGCTGGTACGGTAATGACTAATCATATTATAATAATAAGAATATATTAGGTGTTAATCTAATATTAATTATATTTAATATAGTAAAAATTAAACGAGATCCTTACCCGCATTCTTCGTAGGTTTCCCCAGGTAAGATTCTATAAGGTTAATTTAATCGTTTTTTTTTTTTTAATTACTACGATCATCATTTAATAAATTCACTATATAATATATTATGAAACATTAAACATTAAATACCTGCTGTTTCCTTCATTTTACTTACGATGAACCCACCAATTTGAGCAGGACTATACTCTTTACCTCGAGATGCTAGCCATGCATCTCCATTTGAATGTTCAATAATTTTATATGGAACGTGATCAATGTCTTTTTGTACTTCAGAATCTTTAAATTTACGTCCGATCAAGCGTTTAGTGGCAAAAAAAGTATTTTCTGGATTGACCACAGCCTAATAAAAAAAATTCTTTTAGGTAAAACTACGCATAGATATAACAAATTCGTAATATATGCGATTCGTTAATATTTGATTTTAACAAAACTTTGTTTCAATTGATTTAATCACCTGACGTTTAGCAGTTACTCCGACTAGTAATTCACCTTCTTTAGTAAAAGCAACTACTGACGGAGTAGTGCGACCACCTTCAGCATTTTCAATTACACGTGGTGTCTTTCCTTCCATAATAGCTACACAACTATTAGTTGTGCCTAAATCAATTCCAATAACATGTCCTTGTACTTTTGAACTGTTAATTCGGGAAAAATTTCAAGAAAAGGTTATACAAAATATTTTTTGGTTAATAGCATTAGTACAGAAATTTTGAAAAAAATAATCGAACATGCTTTAAAGTGCGCGGAATAAAGTTTAGTTTATTGGCCTTTAAAAACTAAAAAACGAATTTTTTTTTCAAAAAAAGTAAATTTGTGAAATTCATAATTTTTTTTCGTAGTACGCGATAAAAACCGAATGAGAAGATTTCATACCGATCTACACCCCACATTTAGTGAAGAACGGAAAGGTATGCCAAGTCCAAGTCTTGGACTATACATTTTATAATTTATAGTTGAAATAGTATGAAAGAAAAAAAAAATGCAAATCACGAAATCTAGCGAGAAAATTTTTGTAATTAGATTATCAGGTATATCTTAAATCACGTGAATTGGAATCTCGTCGATATTAATAATCAGTCAGGGATTTTTCAAATTCGTGTAACACAGATCATGTCTATTTTTGGTAAAAGATCTTCAATCGGAAAATTCTTTTTAATTCTATAGTACGAAATTTTCACCAATCATTGGCTGTGTTGTTATTTGCCTTTTAAAGCCTCAGGGATCCATAGGCTAAAGTACATGTAGATCATTTGTCATATGACTTTAATTGTAAATTTTTTTTATTTTGATATTTCACTAACTTAACTGTTTTTAAACTTTTAAGCAAAGTTGTAAAGCAGACTTTTATGATTCTAATGATAGTAGAATTATTAAATTTGGATTAAAATTCGTTGAGATAGATTTATTTAAAGATTTGGTATTATAAATCTATTATAAAAATCATATGATAATCATATGATAATCAACCAATCAGAATGTTACCACCGAGAATTTGGATATATACAAGTATAATTTTTTTCAAAATAATATATATTATAATTTTTTATTATAATAAATAAACCATTTTAATTTATATATCCTAAAATTTTGGTACGTTTTTAAAAAATTTTATTAGTACCATATCTTTGCTTTTTTAAAAAATAGAACATATCCTCTTAGTATATTGTAGATCATTTCTAAATCACGTAAAATACCTGACTGTAGTATCTGTTGGATTAATTGCGTTGTCACTTAATAATATCACTAAAAGTTTCAGTGACACAAAACGTGTACCAGGTTTGTGACGCAGACGAAATTCTTAAGGTTAGGGTTAGGGTCAGGGTTAGGGTTAGTTTATATTATAAATTTGTTTAACGAAACTTTTTGTTAGAGCATTAAAGGTAGTTTCTTATGCTGATTTTTGAGTTATGAGCGATTTTTGGCAGAACAAACGTTTGTTCTGAATTTTCGTGAACGTGTTAAGTTGAAATAGTTCACCTGATCTTCGAATCATATTTCAAGAATAGGTGTAACGTAACACGATCAATATTCAAAAACAAATCAAAATCAGCATAAGAAACCTCCTTTTGTGCTCTAACGAAAAGTTTTCATCGGACAATTTTACTACGTATTAAAACTATTCCTCTTTAACACTTTAATCCTGATCCTAATATTAACCTTAACGAATCCTAAGAATTTTGTCTACACCACCAACCTGGTAAACATTTCCGATTGCAATTCTTCAATGTGTGCAAGGTTTGTAGCGCAGCAAAAATTCTTTAAAGCTCGTTTATGTTAGGGTTAGAGTAAGGATTGGGAACCAGAAAAATGTGGTTTATATAGTAGATTGCCCAACGAAAACTTTTATTAGAGCTTTAAAGGTGATTTCTTATGCTGATTTTTGATAAACAGACGTTTGTTTGAATTTCCTTGATCGTGTTACGTAATTCCTGATCTTGAAATCTGATTCGTAGTCAGAAAAATTGCACACAATCTACAAGTGACGTCAGCGACATTTTTTTATGGGCGATGCTCCAAACTGTCTCACTCGGGTTTGGGACTCCGCACACCAAAGAGAAATAATACGTACAAAATTCAAATATTATCATGACGTAACACCAACGGAAAATTATCCATAATCTGTTACAAACCCAATTTTATGTAACCAGAATTTTGGGGAACCCCTAACGCTAAAGCATAAATACCAAGGCCTTTCAATTATGGTAGTCAAAGTGAATCATTGCACTGAAGTTTACTAGAAACCAAAAATTTAAAAAAATAGCCAAATGACTTGTTTTGAAGGATATTTTGAGTCGGTCTTTAATTTTAAAGTTTATTTTCCCTATAACGTACCTTACTTTTTAGCTTTTTGTCTATATTTATTTATAGCATACTTGATCTCAGGAAATAAATATATTTTATTTTTAGAGTGGCTTTTGTTTTTTTGCGTTTTTCATTTTCTTTTAATACCTTTTCTTTTTTGTTGTTATTATTCGCTGTTGATTAATTTAATACCAAACTTTAATTTTTGGCTTGGTTTTTTGTTTTTTTTTTGTGTTGTCGGTTTTGGTTGCTTTTTTGCTGTGATTAGATTCAACTCTTTGGCAAAGGCTTTAGAAAAAAAATTTGATCAACTTATCAATCAACTCATCAATTACTGGGAAAAAGGAAAAGAGAATTTGGCTACTGTAAAAAAATGGTTATCTTACAGTCGGCTTGTTAAATATTTCTCTTTGTTTCTTGGTTTAACTAGTGCCATTTTGGCTATTCTCAATAGGAATCAGGATGGAAAAATTTCTAATACCACTACTTCCTTTGCAGTAATTAACGGGGTAGTGGTGATAACTAACGAGCTCATCAAAGAATTTGTTTTAGAACCAATTAAAACCGAATTGGAGCAGCAAGAAAATAATAATTTTATAGAAAGAAATGTTTATAATTTGTTAGAAACAAGATTAGCGTTACACGGGATGGTTGCTGCGAGTAGCTAGTACAGTAGTATTTGATTCTTTGAGCCAAGAATCAGCTGATTCCAGTTCGAGTTGGTCAAGCGTCTATATAAAGATAAACTATTTGTAAGTTTCATACAATTACCGATCAAATGATCATATCAAAAAACAAAAAAGACGAAAGAATTTTAAAGCAGATTGCGAATAAATACTTGAACAATTTATAAAGTTTAAATGAATCTGTAATTTGCATTTATTATGTTTAACAAAAAACAATGACAGATCTAGTTGGATGCACTAAATAATGAATATTAAAGAAAAATAATTTCTTTTTCATTTTTCATATTATATATATATATATATTAGATTGCAAGCTATTGTTTTGTAACAGGGATAAATAATAATATAAAAATAGTTTTTTTGATAGCATAATTTATTAAAGTATTCTCGGTGTCTTATGTCTTCAAATATTAGTAAATTTTGTGTTGCAATGAATAAGGCAGTGTTAGAATGTGATCCCAACATAATAATTTATACGTATAGAAATGCTGAAGATCGAAAATACTAAAAGTGTTGAATGTCAAAGTATTATTGAAAATATTTTGTATGCCAAAGGGTGTTCCCAGGTGTCTTAATCAATAGGTCAAAATGTGTCGAAAATTAGAGCATAAACTAGTGAAGTATGTTTAACGTACCTGTCATTAATATAAATAAGATACGGGACACACGGTTTATTATATAAAGAGAAAGTTTTAAATAGTGAAAGATGTTCAGTTTATCATTCCAGCCAACAAACTTTTTGCTTCATGCCAAACCTTTATAGCTAATAAAGTAAATAGAGTTATTAGCAAACATCTCGTACTTTTTGACATAGATCTTGCTATCGACACTATCGTATTTTTGATATTGGTTTTTTCTTAGCAGTAACCATTAGAAAACCTAAAAACAATAATCCTTTTTAGCGATACATTATATTATTACTCTTGAAATTTTGCATATTAATTGGTAAAATAGACAAATAAGCGACAGAGGCAAATAGGTTGACGCTCTTTATTATTTTTGTATTTACGAAGTTTTCGATGACATTTAATAAACCACATTTAAGGTTTTATTTTGATCTATCGTAACAATTACAATTATAAACGAACACAATTTGAGCTAATCTCAATAATATTACCATTCTTACTATTGACCTTTATTCAAATGTCAAGAATACTTGTGTGGTATTTTTATTTCTAGACATTTCTAGAAAATTGCATCTAGGGTGATGTTCGTCCATCATGATGAAAGTGTAAAATCGGAAGTCGAAGCTAATAAAAGTCAAATACCACCAACAATTAAAGTCATATTAAAAATGAACTTGTTCATCAAAAGTATTTTGTGCTAAAACCGAAAGTGCTTATTCCAATTGGGTTAACGAAAGTCAAAATGTTCCAAAAATTGAGAAATTTCATCTTTAATTTCAATATTATGGATATTACAATTAGTGATGGGAAAAATGCGCATTTTATAATAACATGCGCATGAATGCGCATTAATGCGCACGAAATGTTTCATGCGCATGATATCGCATGATAAAAAAAGGCAAAAAAAAAGAAAAAACGATCGAGAGGAGAGAAATCTTGATGGGATAATATGCGCATGAAACGGAATCATGCGCATGAATGCGCAATCATGCGCACGCATGAAACCCATCTCTAATTACAATATATATTTTATAGATGTAAACTAAGAAAATTTACGAATGTATGTATGGTTAGCAAACTTATAAAATTTGTCCTTTATAAATGATCTCTTAATAGTTAGGGTTAGAGTCCCTTTTTTCATGTTGAAGTTTGTATAGGCTATATGTAAAGTCTCTTAAAGAATTTTTTATCTTAATTTCTACTATACATACTTTATTAACTATACATTACATGTTTGTTATATACTCGATATTATGAGTTAATAGGGTTCAAAAGTTAAATGTCACGATATTCTTCTTTTAAAATACATAAACATATTGTTACGTAATTAATGTGTATGTAGAATTCATTAAATGCAAATTGCAAATAAGCATGTATTTGCATACATCAAACGAATACGTACGTACATTCAATTATTAATGTATATCGATATAAGTGATTAAAAATTTTTGCACCCCATTTTATTATTATGATTTTCCACATTAATATTTATTTCTTGGCCCTTACTTTCAGTTGTTTAATATTTGTACAAATTACTTCACCAATACGAAAATTTTTGAAAAATGACTTATCAACTTAAAATTGAAAAATAACTACACGTTGTAAAGGTTAATTTGGGATCACTGGATTTATTGCTAGTGCAAAATTGAAACAGCACACACAATGTTATGATGACACAAAGACCTTATGCTAATCTTTCTTCATCCTAAGTTGATTATTGATGGACCCAATCACTTAACCACAAACTTTAAAATAATAGTCAGACCTCTATAGTCACATTTGCTCATAATCACATAAATTTTTAAAACCAACATATATAACACTT